AGTTTATTAAAATTTTAGACCAACCATCGTTAATATTGATAGGAAAAAACGTACATGGGAATTATTGAGAGAAGCTTATAATGATAATTTTAATAAAATTTCAAAAAGTAAGGACGCAAGGAAAATTATAGAAAAATTTATGGATATTTTGTTACGGAAAAATACGATCAATTATATGGAATAAAAGATGTGAAATAATCACAGAAATCGAGAAAGAACAGGGTTTGGTAAAGAAAGATTTAAAGAAAAAGAGGAAAAATCTGATTAGAAAAAGATCATGATTTGGAGGATGATGGAAAAATAACTGAAAATAAAAAAACAAATGAAAATGTTAAAAGACAAAAAAAGATTAAATAAAAAAATTAAATTAATAATGAAGGATCGATTGATAGGATCACCGAAGGGATTTCTATAAAAAAAAGATTGGCATACAACAGTTAAAATAGTCTAATAATTAGATATTAGTTTAGATTGATTAGTTTAGATTTATTTAGTAATAGAAGATATTATAAAATTTTATAATATTTTTTAGATGGTTTGATAATTTGTAATTAAATTTTTATAGATATTATCAAATTAATAAACGCGTTACTATTTTAAATAAAAAAAAAATTTCTTAGTTAATTAGTCTAAAACAACGGTACAATTTTATGGATGAATCCTTCTAAATAATGCTCACTGGGTCAGTTCTGAACCGATACTATTGAAAAACTGAGTTGAATAGAATCAAACCGAAAAATCGTTTCGGTTTTATGTATCAAAATTTATTAAAATCGATTTGGAAGTTATACATATATTTGACTAAATAAGGACAAGTGTAAATTGCAAATGATAAAATATAAAATCCATGAAAAGGCTCAGTTCTATTCGATAATAATAAACTGCAATCAAAATTTCTCCATGAAAATATTTGTAATAAAATGCCTAGAACTATTAAAGTTGTTAGAAAAGAAATAAGTTGCAAATAATAATCATACAAATGATAACTGCTATAGTAACAAAAATATAACATAGTATAGGAATATTAAACAAAAAGAAATTAATTTTCCATTTTATTTTTTCATATGTAGAATTTTGAAATAAAAAAAACTATAAAAAATACATAGTAACGGTAATAGTAAATATGATTTGGAAATGAAAAAATGATTATATCAGTTAATTCGAAAAAATTGATAATGACTTTAATGAGGCCGCTTCCTTTGTCAGTCATTTTCCCGTTTCCATTCAGATCTGTAAAAGTTCCAAGGTTTATAATTTATGATTGGACCATCTTTTAAAATTGCTTTATAGACACTCCCAAACCCACTATGAGCAATAAGTTCTAGCATTCAATCCATTCAATAAATTTGTACGAATTATCTGTGTTGAGTTGTGAATTTTGAATAGCTCATTGAGATTTGAGTCACCACTGATCCAATGTGCGAAATTATCACGGAAATGTACTACGGTTTACAATAATCTATACTAACTTCAGTATAGATAAATATAATAAGATATATTTAACCGCATTCACGACATTTATCATCGCAGTCAATATACTTTTAAAGTCAATATCGCCCTCAATATTATCCTCATAGTCATTGTCAATCATGATTTATCAATTCTATGATTAAAATGAAATAAGTTATTGCAAGTATAAATAAAAGAAATAAAAGAAACAATTTTACCTTCGTAATTTAATGAAATCAAAATAATTATTCGAATATCGAAGTAGATGAGTGGATGAGGAATAATACTTATTCTATTAACATTAATAGTTGTGCGCGTTGTGACCGTTGCGTTGATTACACATCGTCACACGATCAATTTCACGTGACAATGAAAATTAAGATCTCTTTGTTAAATGTAAATTCAAATTATATCTGTTCTTCGTTAATCTGAACGTTTAAAGACATAATTTCAAAAAAATAATGATAATAAAGATTCATATAACAATCTAATCTGTTATTCTATTCAATTTTTTTTTTATCGAAATATCTTCAACAATCCTTTTGAGATACTCTTAAAGTTTCGCTAATTATCAGAAATTTCAATCAGTATATTTATTTAGGTGATATTTAATATTTATATACATTTTGCAAAAAATTTTGACGTTATTATTATGGTTAGACTCACGTTCTTGATTCACGTTAATTTTTTTTTATTATTAATACGTCAAAATATGGATTCTTTTTTATATAAGTCAAATAATAATAACAGAGATTTTGAACAATATACTAAATAAATTAAATAAATAGACTATGTATACATGAAGTTAGTCACTATAATAAATAAACTTTGGAGTTCGTTACAATAAAATGATAGAATGATCATAATATTTATTACGTTACTGTGGTATTCTTTTTTTGCTAATATTAACTAATCTGCCTTTATAATCAAATATATGAGGCCCAGATTCTTTATACTAAACCTCTTTTTGCAACATATACAATAACCACATTTTGTACAATACCCATCTGAGCTTCAATAAGATGACCGGCACTTACAATATGAATTATTACAATATTCACATCAAAGTTGAATCTATTTTACAAAATAAAACAATAAAAGAATATTATAAAATAATAAAATGATAAAATGATTCCCTATGAAAAAAAATCATCCAATTTTTGTACAATATTTGTTCAAGTCCGTGTGGAAATTGTACAATTATTGCAGATTTTTGGATAAAAATAGTTATGAAGTTTTTCAAAGCATATTAAAAGTATGCAATTTTTGTACAACTTAAATTTAGGATATAGAAAATGTTCAATTTTTGTGTGATTTTTATACAACTTAAATTTCTGTCTCTTATACACATCTAGATGTGTATAAGAGACAGGGGTTTGGTAAAGAAAGATTTAAAGAAAAAGAGGAAAAATCTGATTAGAAAAAGATCATGATTTGGAGGATGATGGAAAAATAACTGAAAATAAAAAAACAAATGAAAATGTTAAAAGACAAAAAAAGATTAAATAAAAAAATTAAATTAATAATGAAGGATCGATTGATAGGATCACCGAAGGGATTTCTATAAAAAAAAGATTGGCATACAACAGTTAAAATAGTCTAATAATTAGATATTAGTTTAGATTGATTAGTTTAGATTTATTTAGTAATAGAAGATATTATAAAATTTTATAATATTTTTTAGATGGTTTGATAATTTGTAATTAAATTTTTATAGATATTATCAAATTAATAAACGCGTTACTATTTTAAATAAAAAAAAAATTTCTTAGTTAATTAGTCTAAAACAACGGTACAATTTTATGGATGAATCCTTCTAAATAATGCTCACTGGGTCAGTTCTGAACCGATACTATTGAAAAACTGAGTTGAATAGAATCAAACCGAAAAATCGTTTCGGTTTTATGTATCAAAATTTATTAAAATCGATTTGGAAGTTATACATATATTTGACTAAATAAGGACAAGTGTAAATTGCAAATGATAAAATATAAAATCCATGAAAAGGCTCAGTTCTATTCGATAATAATAAACTGCAATCAAAATTTCTCCATGAAAATATTTGTAATAAAATGCCTAGAACTATTAAAGTTGTTAGAAAAGAAATAAGTTGCAAATAATAATCATACAAATGATAACTGCTATAGTAACAAAAATATAACATAGTATAGGAATATTAAACAAAAAGAAATTAATTTTCCATTTTATTTTTTCATATGTAGAATTTTGAAATAAAAAAAACTATAAAAAATACATAGTAACGGTAATAGTAAATATGATTTGGAAATGAAAAAATGATTATATCAGTTAATTCGAAAAAATTGATAATGACTTTAATGAGGCCGCTTCCTTTGTCAGTCATTTTCCCGTTTCCATTCAGATCTGTAAAAGTTCCAAGGTTTATAATTTATGATTGGACCATCTTTTAAAATTGCTTTATAGACACTCCCAAACCCACTATGAGCAATAAGTTCTAGCATTCAATCCATTCAATAAATTTGTACGAATTATCTGTGTTGAGTTGTGAATTTTGAATAGCTCATTGAGATTTGAGTCACCACTGATCCAATGTGCGAAATTATCACGGAAATGTACTACGGTTTACAATAATCTATACTAACTTCAGTATAGATAAATATAATAAGATATATTTAACCGCATTCACGACATTTATCATCGCAGTCAATATACTTTTAAAGTCAATATCGCCCTCAATATTATCCTCATAGTCATTGTCAATCATGATTTATCAATTCTATGATTAAAATGAAATAAGTTATTGCAAGTATAAATAAAAGAAATAAAAGAAACAATTTTACCTTCGTAATTTAATGAAATCAAAATAATTATTCGAATATCGAAGTAGATGAGTGGATGAGGAATAATACTTATTCTATTAACATTAATAGTTGTGCGCGTTGTGACCGTTGCGTTGATTACACATCGTCACACGATCAATTTCACGTGACAATGAAAATTAAGATCTCTTTGTTAAATGTAAATTCAAATTATATCTGTTCTTCGTTAATCTGAACGTTTAAAGACATAATTTCAAAAAAATAATGATAATAAAGATTCATATAACAATCTAATCTGTTATTCTATTCAATTTTTTTTTTATCGAAATATCTTCAACAATCCTTTTGAGATACTCTTAAAGTTTCGCTAATTATCAGAAATTTCAATCAGTATATTTATTTAGGTGATATTTAATATTTATATACATTTTGCAAAAAATTTTGACGTTATTATTATGGTTAGACTCACGTTCTTGATTCACGTTAATTTTTTTTTATTATTAATACGTCAAAATATGGATTCTTTTTTATATAAGTCAAATAATAATAACAGAGATTTTGAACAATATACTAAATAAATTAAATAAATAGACTATGTATACATGAAGTTAGTCACTATAATAAATAAACTTTGGAGTTCGTTACAATAAAATGATAGAATGATCATAATATTTATTACGTTACTGTGGTATTCTTTTTTTGCTAATATTAACTAATCTGCCTTTATAATCAAATATATGAGGCCCAGATTCTTTATACTAAACCTCTTTTTGCAACATATACAATAACCACATTTTGTACAATACCCATCTGAGCTTCAATAAGATGACCGGCACTTACAATATGAATTATTACAATATTCACATCAAAGTTGAATCTATTTTACAAAATAAAACAATAAAAGAATATTATAAAATAATAAAATGATAAAATGATTCCCTATGAAAAAAAATCATCCAATTTTTGTACAATATTTGTTCAAGTCCGTGTGGAAATTGTACAATTATTGCAGATTTTTGGATAAAAATAGTTATGAAGTTTTTCAAAGCATATTAAAAGTATGCAATTTTTGTACAACTTAAATTTAGGATATAGAAAATGTTCAATTTTTGTGTGATTTTTATACAACTTAAATTTAGGATACAGAAAACATTCAATTTTTGTACAATAAAAATTGTGATTATTGTACAACTTGAAAATAGACTTAAATTTAGGATACAGAAAGCAATTTTTGGGTAATCCTACTATACT